CTATCTTCACTTTCTTCACAGATTAAGAAACAGGAAGAAAAGTTACTTTAACACGAATGAAGAGGCATGTGGACAAATGTATGAATTGATACCAACATGGATTTTACCTCTTAATCAGAACTAAATTCACTATCTGCTCCCAGCCAACAGAGATGTCAATTTATTGAAAAATTTCAATACTCAAAAAGGCTGAAAAATGAAAGAATCTCCTATGTTCACTAGTCTATGAAATACACAGAGACTAGACGTAAATTGAATTGGTATAAATTAACTTTGGCAATTTAACATTATATATTTTGGCAAATGTTAATATATATGCATTCGAGTGGAAAAGGAACAACAAGTCCATTACCAAAGGCTCCTCAAATGTTTTCAAGCAAGCACTAAATGCATACAATACCAATCAGCTGGCACTGGAAACCATTTTTAAAAAGAAAGGGTGCTTTAACAATTGCATATAATTAACTATTTATAACTGTTAAATTCTGTGAGCAGAGTAACAGACACAGAAGTATAATCCATCCAATCACTTCACAAAGTTCTCATCACATGGTATGCCACCAGAAAATTTAAAACAAAGGAATAACCTTAAAGGGGGTAAAAGCTTTTTAAAAAAAATCCAGATTCCTCTAATGAAAACAGTAATGGAAAAACAAAGAGTGAATATTTATGATGAATTTCCAGGAAATGGAAGAGGGAGCCTTAGAAACATCTGAATAGAAGAGTCTCTCCTTTATAGAATTTAGGTCAGCATGGCAATTAAAGGATTTTTGCCTTTTTTTGGTTTTGAATGTAATCCTCAATGGCAGAAAATCACCTAATGAAAAAATAACATCCAAAACTTTTTGAAAACTTGCCGAGAATTTTACAAATATCTCAAGGGTAAACACCCTTGTTGTAGTATTATTCAAGCTATTAGTCAAGAAACTGAAGCTCTGAGTTAATGGTTTTGAGGGTAGCATGCCATGTTCCTTAACCTCTGAAAAACCATCCTCTGGATCCATCAACTATAAGTTATCAAAAATTTTCCATCTTTAATATCTGTAAGTAATCCTTTCCCTCAAAATAATCAATATTCCTACAAGTTCTTATATGAGAAAGATGTGAAGCAGGTAACGTCCATGATTAAGGGGGAAAATGCTATTAACTTGTTTTTCAAATTGTATTAAAAGGATTTGTTAGTATTACATCCCTTCCAAATCAAGCACAACGGTTACATGTAGCATGTAATACCTGTGCTCCTGATACAGGGCCAAAGGGGTTTGGTGGTCTCATGACAGGCTGGCTGTATATTAAGGTTGGTTGCGTCATTACAGGTACACTTCCCATTTGAGGTGGCTGAAAAATAGAAGAATATCAAGTTAAAGGATGTTGACTCACATCTTCCTTATTATGACTAAGTAAACAAGAATAATAACAGGGATGAAAGGCACCAGTACCTTCACTCTGACTCAAAAGGAAAACTCCTCTGAATGCAAATAAAATTAATAGCTAAAAACTTTTAAGAGTATTTTTTTTGTATGGAAAGTCTTTAATATGCTCATTTTTAAAGGTGGTAATAATGGTAATAAAGCCTAACTTTTTCTTTTCAGTGAATTGCTAACATTATTATAGTACAACAGACAAAACGATATTTTTTTTTCCTTTTTGTCTCTTTTTTACTGACCGGTAACAGGATCGCAACCCTCGGTGTCGCGCCCGTACCGGGGACTGGCAACGGGATCGCAACCCTCGGTGTTGCGCCTGCACCACGCTCAGCCAGTGAGCGGGAACCGGTCTCCACATGGGATCCGAACCCTGGGCGGGAGCGCCGCCACGCTCCCAAGCAGCGCACTCTCCAGTGCACCACCGGGCCGGCCCAGACAATAATGATTTAGACCAAAAACTTCCAAAATTTCCAAACTTGCCAGGTTTAGACAGAGAAAAAACTTAAGACACTATGTCTTAACTACTAAGACATTTCAAAGTAAGTTGCCTTTCAA